ACAGGGAAAATTGCCATTGCAAATAATCCACACATTGATAGCTGTAATCATCTGGGTCTAAAGCCAGGCTTATTTAGTAATCATGAAAGTATAGAGTTCAAAAGTAGAACAGAAGGCAGCCTGGGGGAAAATGAGCAAGGTGATGCAAAACAGGCAGCAAGGTAAACAAATATGAGTAGACTAATATTTATAACAATTTTCTTCTGCCAAGACCTGCTGACAGATGTGTCACCCAGACCTAAATAAAACATCAGAAGCCCTGTATGCATAACATGTAGACACCTTCTGATGAGACTGCACAAGTAAACAAGATGCTCTGACAGCATTTTTTGAAGGCAGCTTTTCTTTTTTTTAAGCTCTGGCTGAGGACTACTCAGAATTTCAGGCTTCACTTGCTCACCAAATCACATTCCAACAAGATCAGCCATTCTTGCTGCTGCAGAATTACCCTTTTTGGCAGACTGCCTTCCTGTCAGTTACACAGGGCCTCTACACCACAAATTCCAATTTAAGCCTTTTAAAAAGAACCAGCCATGCCTTTCATTATATATTTTGGTGGGGGATAAGGAACCACAGCAGCCTGTTCTCAATAGAACAAACGGCTTCCTTTGTTCCAGCACGATGGGTGTAAGTCAAACTACCACCACAGAGAGGCATACTCTTTCTGGCATGCTTGAAACACGAATACTCACTGTGCTGCTCCTTCCCTGAGAAGATTGTCGTTGTTAAGCAATAACCGGACATCTGGAGGAGGGAGTGCTCGATAAGTTATTGGCTTTTTGATCAAAGTTTCTCCAATTTTCAACTGTACAAACATAAACGTTGCTGATTTGAATCATTTTATTAAGGTAAGTAGTCACAGAATGGCAGCATGCTTTTCCCCACTCTGACCTCAGAGCAGTGTATCGTGACACGGTCTGTCATAGTGGATGAATGTGAATAAAATGCTACTGATGGCTCTTCTTTACTTACCATTGAATACTTCATTAAATTCTCCAGGAGGGGCATGAGTGATGAATTTTGCAGCTATACGCACCTGTAAAGACAAAACCACTTACTGACTTCATACAGACTGCAACCCACTCCGAAGCAATTAAACAAAAAACACTAACTATCAGATTTGGGGAGAAATCCAGATGTGTGTTTTCAAAGTGGAAACCATCAGTCCTGTAAGACTAGGTATTTTTTTCAGATGCTCAGCAAGAAGAGCCAACTCCACCCGGGTAACTGTAAAAAATGGGAACTGTTCAACCTTCACAGTACAGTTTCACTCTCTGTAAGAGTTGCAATATTGTATTGCAAATGTGTATCTGTGCATCCATCACACCCACATTTAGCTTTTCGTCCATGCAGCGTGATGCCCTGTGCAGGAACACTGAGTGTGTACTCAAAGTCTTAGACCCTAAACCTACCTGGAAACAGTGTAGGAAACCTGTCTGACCTCACCCTGACTTATGGATTTGTTGCTGACTTTGTCAGGAGCTGAACAGGGCTTCGTTACAGGACGTCCTGGTTCCTTGTTATCGATGTCACGCTATGCTTTCAGGAGTTATTGTCTCTTTGAAGTCTGTGGTTAACAAAAAGAACTGGAACTACTCCATGCAGTGTACCAGCTTTTCTGGCGTGTGTCTTCTCAAGGGTTACTTGCCACCCTTGTCTGGCACGTTACTCCTTCCCTTATCCTGCAGCAGTCTTTTACTGGAAACTGCAGCACAGTCCAGTCATGAGCTGTCATTGTAGGAAAGAATTAAGGCATCTGGAACTGATACAATAAGAGAAAAGGCCAAGTGGAAGGAAAAGACCCAAATATCTGTAAACTGAGGCTGTAAAAACAAAAGCAGTTCCCTTCTGAAAAATAATAAAGCTGTACTGTAACCAAAAATCCCATATACAAGTCTGGGATTATTAGAATTTTGGAGTATTCACCTATTTCAGCTGAATTACTGCCACAGCTGGAAAAACACTGCTTCTCTCCTGTCTGCTATGTTTTAATTAGAAATAGTTGTTTGCATCAATTGTCACATAATGATTTAAAGCAAGCCATGAAAGAAAACTCACACCTTTGCAAACAAAGGGTAAACTGCCTTATTCCAACAGTATCAAGTAACAACCCTGCATTAATTGGGCAGAGCTTCAGATAAAAAGAGATTGCTTTCCAAATTGGAGTCTATTTTGCAAAAAACATGTGTTCTTTATGCATGAAATAATTATGTAGCATGAGTGAAAAACTTACGTTGAAGATTGTTGGTGTAAGTTGGTAACTTGTATAGTTCATACTAGTAAAAATGTAAAGCCTTTTTCTCATCGTTTCCTGCTTTTAAATAAGGCTGATAAGAATGTTAGGATTGTAATAATATCGTTCTTATTGTGTGAAACTTCTCACTGTCCAAAGAACTGTAATTAGGATGTCCTGCTTCACAATCCTGTTAGACTTCGCTGCTGGAAGCTCGGATGGTGACAAAGATAATCCTGCAGTAATTAAGAGGGATGCTTCTGTTTTGTATCCTCTGTGGATTTCTCTGACAGACAGCCCTGAAGGGCTGAAACACTCTGGAAATTATAGCATGTGCTTTTCTAAGAAAGTGCAAGTGTAAGCATCAGTACAGCTGGATCAGACTGCTCTAAAGCATCAGGAGATACAGTACTTGGAGCTCATGTACCACTTCACACCAAGATCCATTTCAGTGGCTAGAATGTGCACTGCAAATTAATTCTCCAGAGGAACAGATTACTATTTACAAGGTGCTCAACATATGGAAAAGCCCCTCTAAAAGCCATAAAAATTACTCTGTATACACATAAGGAACAATGCTGTGGCTGCAGAACTGTGCTCTGTATGGTAGAAGGGGACCATGGTTGTAGGAGGTGGACTTAAAGGTCTATAGTTTCTGATAAAACACATGGGGGGGGGGAATAAATACTACAGGAAGGATTTTTAGTCTTCTACATTCCTCTGCCTCGGAAGGATGTGTAAAATTCAATCAACACAGGAAGGATGTGTAAAATTAAGTCAACACAGAAAGGACTTTGCACTTCCATTCTGTGTCCCCACAAAACCAGACACAAAGCAAACTGCCACAGAAAACCACTCACTGTTTTAAAGCAGCCCTTGCATTGATTCTGTCGTGGAGCAATAAAATAAAAAGCATTTAAATCAAACCACTGAAATCAGGAGCGGAGTGCAAGAAGTTGACAGTAGAGAACTTAATCCTAAATGCCAAGCATTTGAATCACCATTACTGGTTGTTTTTAGGGCTGGTTTGTTTCGGAGCACTGTCAGCACAGTGGAAGGAAGTTCTTTTGCAGAAGCACGAAAATAAGGCTTTCTGCAAGCTGCCCCACTTCCTGCCCATCGCTGCCATTTCAGGTAGCTCTGCAGCAAGCTAACTACACTGACTTCCTTTTTCCAAAATGGGGAGAGTTGCTGATAGAGAAGCTGCCCAGCAATTTGGTAAAGCTGGCAAAACAGCAGCAGAATAAAGTTAGAAAACACACTGCAGCAGGTCTGGTTCCTGAGCCCTGGCTTTCCTCAAGTAAGGCTTATAAGGATGGGAGGTGTGAGGGAATAAATGAATTTTACCATTTGTTTGATCGTTGGGTTTCTTTGTTTATTACATGGATGCTGTAATAAAGCTCTGCTGCATGTTTCTTAGAATTCATTTCCATCTTCTACCAGCGTTGGACACGGAGCTACTTGGACTGATTCAAACCTGCCCGTGCTGGGACATAAAGTTGAACAAGGGCTCCTATTTCAAGTGAAATCCTATCTGCCTGGACAAATGAAATGCTGGGGCACACGCAGTGCAGGATGAACGTGCTGTGAAGGAACCACAGACCTCAGGGAATGCAGTGGAAAAAGAGCCCAGATGACTCTAGATCCTGATTCTCACTCCCAGACTGAGTGATAACTTTAGCTATAGCCTAAAACAGGGATCTGGTTCTACTTTCCAGCTCTGTTAATGACCTGTGAGGTTACCAAAGGCAATTAACTTCATTTCCTTTGCTAAAAACTTGCTAAAGCTTTGTTTTTCATTTTCATTTCAAACACGCTTTCTGATGCAGCAGCCAAGCAGGTCAAAGATTTGATACAGCATTGGAGAGATTTCAGTTCCACGTGAATTCTGCTCTGAAATATTCATTTCGATGCTGCTGTGATCTAAAACTGTATCAAAGGCCACATCAGTCATAAGGCCCTGCCAGCCTCCTTCACCATGTGGCCACTGTCATTAAGCACAAGCAGGCAGCTGGAGAGGAAAATAAAAGCAACTCCGTGCTCACAGGATCCCTGAGGATCAACGAATGTTGGCATCCCAAAGCAGAATTTCAAGGAAAAAAAAAAAACACAACAAAACCAAACCACCAACAAAAAAACCCCACATGCAATAGTTTTACTATGCAAGGAAGCGTAGCTGTGGGTGCTGATTTTAGCTGTGGGTGCTGATTTTAGCTGTGGCATGTGGGAAAGAAATGGCCATAGGCTGCCAGCTTTTCCTTTCTAGCAACTCAGCGCTGCTTTTAAGACAGCAATTTTTCCGCATACCCACATCAGAGGAACGATCTTTCTGCACCTCTCAATACGAGCCTTTCTCTCCACGCCCCGTCCCCTCAGCTCCTCGATCCGCACAGAAGCAATGCGGGCGGAGAGCCGGGGCTGCATGCGTGGGAACGAAACAGGGCTACGAACTGAATGGGCCCGGGGAAAGGGAGGAGACGACGGGCAGCCCTTGCCCGCTGTAGGGCTCCCGGCGCCCCGCAGCGCTGGGCTGGGCTGGCCCGTAAGGCAGCAGGGGGCCCGTGGGGCGGAGGCGGCCGCTCCCTACCTTCTCCTCGTCCGACACCCGGTCCTCGAAGTCGGCCATTTTGGCAGCTCTGGGCCCGGCCCGGCCCCGCGCGGAGCACGCCGGGAGTCCTGCACCGGGCGCCGTAGCCGGGGCTGGACCGGAAGCACGTTCCGCGCCATCTTGGCTGTGGGCAGACGCCAAGCGGCCGCCATCTTAGAGATGGGTGCGGTCGAGAGTGCCGAGCCCGCTGGCTCGCGAGGCTGGAGGCGGAGCGGAAGCTCGGGGCTGCGGTCTGGTTGATGAGCCTGGGGAAGAGGGGGAAACTTAGCCGGACCGAGGCCGCTTCTGAGCACCGAGCACCGCGGGGAGACCCCGCCCGGCTCCGCCCGTCCACCCCGCCCCTTCCCGGCATCCTCCGCGCTGGCCATGGCGGACGGCTGCGGGACCGGCAGGGAACCGCCGTGCCTCGGGGCGGCGGCGGCGCTGCGGCGCTGGGAGCAGCTGAGGCGGCGGGTGGCGGCACCGTGGGCCCGCGGGCTGCTGGCTGTGGCCGCCGGGCTCGGGCTTTTCTACGCTGCGCTGCGGGTGCCGCTACGGCTCCGGGACGGCCTGGCGGCCGGTGAGGCGGGCGGGGAGTGGGGCGGTGGAGCCCGGCGGGGCTTCCGGGCCGGGTTTTGTGCTCTCCTAACCGGGCTTTGTACCCCCCAGGCACTGCACTGAGCCCGGGCTGTGGTCAACCCTCGGTCTGTGTAAGGGAGAGAGAACCGCGTTTCCTCACCTGTGCCGTGAGGGCGATGAGGGCAGCACCGTGCATAACGCGGCGCGTTTCGGGTATAAGTTAAGATGAAATAATGCCCTGAAAGGACCGGTGCCACGAGGCTGTTGTTCAGTGACGTTTGTATTTTGGGACGTTCGCGTAAGCAGCGAGCTGTCACAGAGATACATTCGGACCAAAAGAGCTCTAATAAAGCAGTTTTAGCCACGAGGTCCCAAGGGTGATCTTACACCACACTTGTGTGTAATTTTTCATGCTGTGTTGTTCAATAAAAACCTCTCTGCGTGTTTCAGTTCTGCTCGTTAAGTCTTGGTTTTTCTGTCTCCCAACAGTGACTGTGTTCTTAAGCACTTTGACTCCAAAATTCTACTTTGCCCTCACAGTGACCTCATCCTTTATATCCGGACTGATATTTGTAAGTAGGCAGCTCTTCTTTTTTCCTTTTCTTTCCCTCCATTTTCAGCACCTCTGAGGTAGTTTCATTGAAGGTGAATGCCATAGACTTCTGTGCTCAGACTCTAGAGGGTGCCTTTGCACTAGCAAGGAGCTTGTTACTTAGTATCCTTCCATACCTATTCTACATACTTTTTAATTACGTGTCTTGTGTGTCACTTGAGCCTAGGGAAAGTAGATTGTATCTGTTTTAAGGGACTCAGGCTTGTTTTGAGCAGGTGTGTGCATAAATTATATGCATAAACATATAAACATTTCAAAATATACATGCAGAGACTGCGGACATCTGTGGAAATAAACTTCTGAGATGTTTATCTCTTGGAAGGTTGGGAGTTTAGTTTCCAACAGTAGTAGCTTGGTGGTTTGTGCATGTATTAAGGTATAAATACCTCATTGTCCATAGTGTAACAATAAGACCTGGGGAGAGAGGAACATAATGAGAGTAAAACTTTCCTTTTTTCAAACTTTCCCATGTTGTGTTGTTAATCCTGTGTGACAAGACAATCCTGAAGTAGGTAATTACCATTAATTTGTAGGTAAATATATTCTGTCTGTAAACATTTGCAAGGGGATGTCCTCGCTCTGTGCAGTTTTCTCTTCATCCCTGGTGTTTATGTCGGAAGGGTGTTGCCTAAGGAAATGCGGGGTGCTTTTTTCTTTTCTCCCATAACAGGTATTTGAGTGGTGGCATTTCCGAAAATATGGCACGTCCTTCATTGAGCAGGTATCTGTGAGTCACCTGAGGCCGCTCATCGGCGGCGTGGAAAACAACCCTCCAGCACCAGCAGCGTTCTCAGCTGGGGAGAATGAGGCCAACAGACAGAACGTGCCAGGTGATTGCTAACACATCCCAACAGTTTTCATTCCTCTTGAAGGTGATGCTTTCAAATGAGTTGACTTTTAAAGGGAATTTACTCTGCGCTATTGCTTGTAATAATTGGAGAAAACTGAGACGGGGGAAGTTTAGGTTGGATATTAGGAGGAAGTTTTTCACCCAGAGGGTGGTGAGGCACTGGCACAGGTTGCCCAAGGAGGCTGTGGATGCCCCATCCCTGCAGGCATTCGAGGCCAGGCTGGATGTGGCTCTGGGCAGCCTGGGCTGCTGGTTGGTGACCCTGCATACAGCAGGGGGTTGGAACTGGATGAGCGCTGTGGTTCTTTACAACCCAGGCCATTCTATGATCTATCATTCCATGAAAGGCCTATATCTTACGGTGTGTGTTGTTAATAAGGATACAATGAGGTAATTGATCTAAAACATTAATTATTTATTCCCTTAGTAAATAGGTGACACATTCAGCTAAAACTGTTTCAGTAACTTTAGATATTTGCTATTCTAAATACGTGCAAGGTGCAAGTTGCTTGGATATAAGTGGCACTTTTTAATATTTAATACTAATGAGCAGCCAAAACACGTATGTGACAGCAGAAGTTTATGGAGATGGGAAAGATTGTATGATTGTGATCAAGCTGAATCAAGTTGAAAATTAAACGGGCTTCTAAAATTAAAATTGCGTTTTCATAACTGCGTTTTAAACTCAAACTAGGATTGTTTGTGCTCTTAATTCAAAAAGTGGTTTTTTTTTTTCAGAATGCAAGATGTGGCGAAATCCTCTTAATCTTTTCAGAGGGGCAGAATACAGCAGGTATTGACCATCTCACTTTCCATTGCATGTTTTTAAAATTGATTGGGAGCCTATGCATGACTTCACTGCAGAGCTTTTGCTGGTTGTACTGGGAAATGGCCGAACCCTGCAGGGGTGATTGATGCCAGTCCTGTGTTTAAAAGGCACCTATCCAAGCTTTGACAGTTTCAATGTTAAGAATGCAAATATTATTGTAAATAATCCTTTTTTTTTTTGAGAGTAAAGTAGGAGAAAAATATTCCCGGAATTATTTTCCCTCTTCTTGAAAATGAAAGTCCTGGTCTTACAGCTGTTACTGTTTTATTCAGAGATTGAGACAGTGATTCTGAATCTTAAGTCTCTCTTCTGAGAAGATGCAGCTGTAAGTCTCTGTGATTTTGTTTCTTGAGAAGAAAGTTGATTAGGACTGCAGGATCAAAAAGATTTTTTTTTCCTTGTGCATCCTGTTAAGATTATGGGACAGTAATGCTAGAAAACTCCTGATTAGTAGCACCTGACTTTTATTACTAACAAATTTTCTGCACTACTTGTAAAACGCATCAGATACCTTCTTTGGCATCAGCATTACCATTTTACTGACATTTCTCCCATTTAAGATACATGTGGGTGACTGGGAAAGAGCCTCTTACCTACTATGACATGAATTTATCCGCTCAAGATCATCAGAACTTTTTCACATGTGATACAGATGCCCTTCGGCCTTCAGATACAGGTACCTGTACCATATGCATAAGATACACAACAGCTGGGGTGTGTGAACTGGAGATATTTCATGTACTTCCAGGTGGCACGAGCTATCCTGCCAAATATTTTGTGAATTAACCTTTCCGTCCTACTTTGGAGGTTTAACGTGTGGATTTGGGAAGATTTTTTTTCACCTCGTGCTTTAATAAAGGCTCTCAGGATCTTGGCATATTATAATATCTCACTTAACAAATAGTGAACAACGCAATATTGAAAACATGGACTATTTCCTCAACAACTAGTGAAGTGATCTCATGTAAACTTTACGAGCAGACAGTGCCATCTCCGTTATTTTGCTGTCGTGTTCCAAATGCTGAGTGAAGAAACTGTTCTCTACCTGGCTATTGTCAGACTGGCTCCTAGCTGTTACCAATTTCTCACGTTCCGGAAGCGTTGCTTGTCAGCTCGTTGTGACATTTTTGATATGAATTACGTATTTCTGTTTCACAAGTGCAGTGTACTGTCTCTCTTGCTAAGCCAAGACTAATATTTTGTTTCCAAAAGAAAACTCAAACATTTTTCCACGTTATTCTTGCTGGACAGCAGAAAGTTTTGTTCCAAAAGAAACATGTATGGATTCTTCAGTTCTCTTATCGTGCTTTGAGATAGGCCAGATATGTGATTCCATGAACGTAAAGTTTTGGAGTGATTTCAGAGCTGTTATTTAGTGTGAAAGCTGTTACTTCAGCACAGATAATGGCAGCTCTAAGTATGCTGTCTGTCTTCTGCTAGAAGCTGACTTCCAGTTTGGGATTCTGGGATTCCCGTTTTTCCCTGATGGAGACATTCCATCAGAATTTCACTTCTATTTCCAACTAAGGGAAAGGCTTGGAGATGCTGCATTCCATTTGTTTGCTCTTCATCTGACTGTAATTTTGAATTCAAATTGAGATTCAGATTACCCTTCTGAGTGGGAAGAACTCACTGTTTTTGTTCCTTACAACACTTTCTAATAAGGTGGTAACTGTAGTATATACTGAATTGGCTTTGTCGTGTGGCTTTGCCACTGGAAGATACTTTGCAAATTTAAAAGGACGTTGTTTAACCCTTTATGATCTCATCTAAACACTGAAGCATTTCGTAGATATGTGCAATAGATCTTAACTCTATCACTGTTTTCTTGGAGGTTCTGTTTGAAAGCATAAATTAAAATTCTGTGCAGGTCTGTGCAAGAGCCTGTGTTTAACAATTACTCCTGCCAAGCTTTCAAGAAGTCTTGGGAAATGTTTCCAAAAGCTGTAGTAATTTAGAAATTGTACATCTGTCTGGTTATGTAAGCTGTCTTTGCTTCTCAGTGTAGGAGTTTTTAAATGGTCAGTGAATAATCTTCCTGATGGCATTGCTATCTTAAATCAAATCTGTGACACACTGAGAAGTTGCAAGATTCTGCTGCTTTCGATAGAAACTCTTGCTGACATGAAAACATTCATTTCCCTGGAACAGTTACACAGCAAAGAGGCATTTGCAAACGCAAGTGGATGTTAACACAGAACTGAGGCATGGGCAGCCTCTGTTGCCTCACTTTTTCTGCTTTGCTAGCAGGTGTTTGCCAGCTTCTCTGTATCTCACCAGCCTTTACATGTTTTTACAACAGTTATGCAGAAAGCATGGCGAGAGAGAAACCCTCAAGCCCGGATTAAAGCAGCGTATCAAGCCTTAGAGTTGAACAATGAGTAAGTTTAGACTGTGGACTCCTTTGCTTTGTTTCTAGTCTGAAAGATTAAATGGAGTAAAGCTGAGTGCGCTGTTAGTTTCTCCTTCCAGGAATAATCAGCAAATTTTCTCAAAGTTTGTGTTTTTCTCTAAAACTGCAAAGTTTTGTTGTCCTGAATCTATTTGAGCATTACTCAGTCAATGTTATTGTAGGTTCACGTAAGTGAAAACTCCTTGTTTCTGGTTCTTCTGTACTTATTCAAAAATAGGCTTCTGTGTCCCTCACAGTGACGTGTGGCTTTTTGCCTTGTCACAGTTGTGCCACTGCATACGTTCTTCTCGCAGAGGAAGAAGCAACAACCATTGTAGATGCTGAGAGGTATTTCAAGCAGGCTTTGAAAGCAGGAGAGATGATTTACAGGAAGTCTCAGAACTGCCATTCCCAAAGTCCCCAGCATGAAGCACAGCTACGTAAGCACTTTTCAATCAAAGAAACATTTTTATGTGAGCAGAAGTGTAAAACCAAAGTTAGAATTAGTGATTCTAGTTTGATTTACAGTGTATTGAGGCACTTCTTACTTATGCATCGTCTGCTGTATGACCTGTTGTAGTACCTGAATGAATCTAGGAAGTGGCAGCTTGCTGTGTATTCACCACAGGTTGTGAAAAGAGGGTTTTTTGTAATTTAACCTGTTTAAAAGTTGCTGGCATTGGGCTAGATGGGCTTTTGCTGGGATAGCAATAGTAACAATTTTATGCTATTATGCGTGGCTAGGATAAAGGCTGTAGGATTTCTGGTGTGTTTTGAAGAGAGAGAAAGAATTGGAACAGATTAGTCTGTTGTTTTTGTTTCTTTTAATCAGGAAGAGACACTAATGTGCTGGTCTATGTGAAAAGAAGGCTGGCAATGTGTGCAAGAAAACTTGGAAGAATTCGAGAATCGGTAAAAATGATGAGAGATGTAAGTAATCAGAAAAAAATTGAGTCTCTTGACCAGTTTGCTTTGTGCCTGGCTTATCAACTACTCCGTTGAAATAGCTGGCCTTTATACCTCATCCTTTTCTCAGCATCAACTTTTCTCTCCCTTGCCCAACATGTATAACAGGCTGTTTTTGTATGGGGAAATACTACTAACCAAATCAGTTCACTATGGGAGATGTGCAGATCTGGGCTGAGGGCATGACTGAGCCTCAGTGTGCTTATTTTCTAGTGGGTGTATTGAGGGGAAAAAAGTGATGACTTTAAGGTAGGAATGCTGCAGTTCTTTCTGTGTTTTTTGTCAGTTTCTGCCACTGGGAAAGAAAAGAACATTAAAAAAGCTTAAATTATCATGCTGCCTTTTATTAAATATTCAGGGATTCAAGTGAATTTCTGTATGTGCTTAATTTATTTCTCTTTACTGATTTTTCAGTTAATGAAAGAGTTTCCACTTCTCAGCATGCTGAATATTCATGAAAACCTCCTGGAGGCATTACTGGAGTTACAGGCTTATGCAGATGTCCAGGCAGTTTTAGCAAAGTATGATGGTAAGTGACACCTGTTGGGAAATATTGGTGGGTTTGTATAAGCATACAGGTGATCTGGACAAGGTGTGCCTGTCTGAAAGCAGGTATCTGCCCAGTATCTCATCTCTTTGAATAGATTCTTATAATCACCAGTGAATAGGTTCTTCCATACTGTGGGCTGTATATTTTTTTTTCAATGGTGAGCTCTAATTTAGTCAAGCTGTAAGCCAGTACACACGTCCTAAGTTAACTCTAATTCATAAAGTGGTCTTGGAGCTCACTTTGCTCCAGCTCAAGGATTATTTTAATTTTTTAATCTTTTCTGCATCCTTGGTTATGCCTAATTTCATCAGCCTTTCTCAGTTAGTGCATGCCCTCCTATGTAATTGATGTAAATGGCTGAACAAGTTAGTCTGCCCTTCTGCTGTGCTGCAGGCTTGGCTTCATAACTCTGTAATGCTGAGGTTGCTTGTCAGGGATTATTAGTGACATACAAATATACTTCTTGCCAGAGATTAGTGGTGTGCAAGCTTTTGTCCATTAATTGGCAGCAGTTTGCTTTCACTTTCCATCTGAACTAATACATTTCAGGTGTTGTACAAGTCTAGATAAAAGCTAATAAAATGTAAACTTCCTTCATAGCTTCTGGGAATTAAAAATATCATGTTCTTGCCAAAATCCCGTGCCTGTTGTATGTGGCCACCCCAAATGCAAGCTCCTTTTATTTCATTATCTATGTTCTTCTGTGTGGATTCTTATTAATTTCACACAATCATTTGCTTTTTTTCCTGGTGCTTCATTGTTAACATCAGAGTTTGTGACACTTCCTTAAGAAAAGGTTTCTGATTTTTTCCTAAGCATCTGGAAAAATGAGCATGAGCTTCAAACTCTCTGTAGCCTCCCTGTGTTTTGCTTGGTACGACAGCCAGACTTCTAGTAAGTGATGGACAAGCCTAGGATGGGATTTACAAAAAAAAAGCAAGAGCCATCTGACTATACACAACATGGTATTTGGGAATTAGACCCCAGACTTTGTCTGCTTCTAAAGTAAACTTGTACTGTGGAGTGCTATCCTTCCAATCTATAATTGTCAGCTCAAACATAGCCTTGCATGTTCTACAAAACCTATAACTAATAGATTTTTTTTTTTCCTGGGTAACTGGAAAAGAATGGAAGTTGCATTTTCTATAAAATTTGTCTACCTGTCTGTAATGCAATTTTTTGGTCAAGCTTTTAGATTCTGTCCATTTTTTGTAAAACTGTGTTAATGTTACACATTACATTACAAAACTGTGTTAAAATTAGGCAAAGATCAGAAGCTTGTTTTAAATCTTCCTGAGTTAATACAGGAAAAGCACACTGTTCCTAAGTGTGCATTTATATCTGCACTTCTCTTTGAGTTCAGTTTCAGTGTTCTGTTATGTTTTAGTCACTTTACTGCCTAACTGCAGCTCCAAGTTTTTAATCTGATGCTGATGAGTGATCAGAAAGAGGACTGCAAAGGGAATCAACATTTCTAAATGGAGGTGGAATGTTCTGGATGTTACGTTTATTGTATGGTGTACCAGTACCAAAAATCTTTAAGCTCAAAGGAAGTTGATTGAAAAGGTTTTGTCTTGCCTTAAAATCTTACGGCTTGATTATTTTATCACAGATATCAGTCTTCCAAAATCAGCAGCAATTTGTTACACAGCAGCCCTGTTAAAAGCCAGAGCTGTTTCAGAAAGGTAAGCAAGCACATCTGTGAAAGCAATGGTTGATTGCTAATCTCTAGTTAAGCTTAAAAGTATGAATTTAAAAGGTCAAGACCCAATGTGTAATATATGTCGACGAGCAAGTTATGCATATTTATGTGTATGTTTAGTTATGTATAATTAAATGTAGTTATAGCGAGACATAATTTAAAGTTTCTTTTAAGAATCCACAGCGTTAACACAGGTGAAGATGTTTCTGGAAAGCCCAGGCACACATGCACCTCTGTATAATCTTGTTTCAATCTTGCCCGTGGCGTTCAGCAGCTCTTTGCTTTGTGGGTTGGGTGATGGTGGTGGTTTATTGGCATTGTGCTTGGATTCTGGTCTGTTTCCGTGGCTGATTCCAACTCTACCTCCCCCTAGCTGGTGTCCTATCAATCTCATGAAAGATACGGGTGCTCAGTCACCCTGGGAGGTCGACATGAAGTTTTCAAAAAGTTTAACATATCTTTGCCCTGTGGGCTTGGATGACAGTCAAGATACTTAAACTAGCAGGAACGTTTGCCTCCGTGAAACAAATCAGTCAATTTTAATGAACTTCAAGCTTAAAAGCCAATAAACACCTGGTTAGTGTTTATTATTTATTAGTTCTGTTCAGCATGAATTTTCCCCTTCAGGTTCTCCCCAGAAACTGCCTTCAAAAGAGGGCTTAGTACAGCAGAAATAAATGCTGTGGAAGCAATTCACAGAGCTGTGGAATTTAACCCTCATGTTCCAAAGGTAAGAGGGTTTTATTTTCTATTGGATTGCTTTATTACTTCCTTAAAGTAGTCATTTTGTATTATCAGATTGTTTGAGCCCCAGATTTTCTTGAAGTTGATGTTAACTGTGGCCCTTGACTTATTAAACAGTCGAGTATTTATACTGTAAAGGTTTGGGGTTTTTTTTGTAATAGGTTATGTTTGAATGGTTTTGATTTAAAACAAAACAAAAAAACACTCAAAATTATCTAACTTGTTGGAAACTCCACTAATGCATTTCTACAGGCCCTTCTCGGATGAGGATAGATATTAGCAAATGTAAAATTAAACACTTAAAATCCCTGTAGCCAAATGAAGTTTCCAAACCATAGCTACTCACAGAATTTCATAATGCTTCTTCATGTTATGCTTAGAAGCCAGGCTCTGGAGCTCTGGTTGGTGGCAGATGTGCCAGCATTGATTTTCTTCTTTTTTAAATGAGAGGAAGAATCATTACTGCCATATGATGTAACTTCATATCTCATTGCTTAAGTGTCCAAGGTAAGGATTCCACCGAGCACTGTGTGGAAATAAAATTCTGTACTGCATTTTACTGTCCTGGTATTGGTGATGCATTCAGTTTGAAACCTTGAATGCAAAGGGTTTGCTTAGGTCTGGACCTAATCCTCTGCAAATGATCATGGAGTCCGAGTGACTATTGCTATGAAGGCTCAAATTATCCAACCCCTCTATTCTGTCTGCCTGTCCAATCTAATAGAATGTGCACTGGGGAAGCTAATTGCTGGGAGAAATTGCTGCTTGTTTGCATGACTGATCAAGAGCGTAGCAAGTTCATTTCAGACAGTCTCAGACAGACTTTTCTTTTGCCTCTGCCTCTAGGGGAAGAAGATTATAACGCATTATCGTTATCTACAAGTTTGTTTAATTTTGTTTGTCCTTCAGTTGTTTCAGGAGTCCCATATACCTTGGTGAGACAGCATGTCAAAAGTCTGTTTGCAGACAGTAGTTCTGCAGACATGCATGGAAACGGAGGCCAGGTTTCAGTAATCTGATAATCTCTCCCAATTGTGTGCTTATCCATGTTTTTGTTGTGACTTTTTAAAATTAAAGTGTTGCCTTCAAGCAGTGCTTTATTGGACTGCATGGCAGCATTTCAGTGGTTGCAGTGGTCTAATGGGGAAGAAAATCTGTGTTTTGAATTTGCAGTTTGTTCTGTCCCATAGACTAACAATAAATAGATGTCTAACACAGAAATCTCTTCTGGGATCCAATGAAAGTGGTTTTCTTTACACGTAACATCATTTTGTGTAAGGAGAAGTGTCTGTTTCTCTCTGCTCTGAGCTTTACTTTTATGTTTTTGTTTGTTTGGAAGGCGAGGAGATGTTTCACAGTGCTAGGAGAAGGCTGCTGTGGGGTATTGTGGCAATGCTGGTAGCAGGGCTCCATCACAACTGCTGGGTTTGCAATCGAAGCAGTTCCTACAGCTTGAAAACTGGGCACGGGAGAGAGCATGAGGAGTCAGGTCAGAGGTCAGATATCTGAGACCATTTTCCCACAGCAGCCCTGTGTGAGTGATCCTTTACTGTGTTAAAAAAAAATAAAAAATAAAAAAAATTGAAGAGGATTAGAGAGGATTAGCAAGAATATTACCCTCCAGAGTGTGGGCCCAAGGCACTAAGGGAAGAACCTAGCCAGGCAGTAAATGTGCTTTATTTGGCCGGGGCACAACCCCTACTACATTCCTTCAAGAATCTGAATGGGAAAAGTTAAGTCCTCAAACTAGATTAGTAAATAATCTCATAGTTTGTGGCATCTGCTGAAATAAATCGGTGAGCAAGCTGCATTCTTACACTTTGGGAGACAGTCAAAGGAATGGCTAGCTACAGTGATCAAAGATGTGGATTAGCTTTGGCTGTTATTGAATGAGGTGCTATATGCTGGGGGAGAACAACTCAAGTAAATAATAGAGCTGGAACTATCACTTAATTCTTTTAAAAAGACTCATCTGTTTTTGAAAGCAAAATTCCAAAGCAATACCTCTCTTTGGGTTTTTAGTATACAGTGAAGAAGCAAAACTGTTTGTCCCGTGTGTCGAGGAAAGTCTTCAGTTATTCAGTCTTGTGTTATTTGACTCTTCTGCACATCACACATTCTGCTGATGTATGGGGAAAGTTCATATTGGAGATACTTGATGCTAGCTCCACAAAACCAGATGAAATTAAGGTTTTCCTGGGTTTGGTGGATTATTCTTTGTTTGATTAGCATACCGATGCTTCCTGACTCACTCCTTATACTTGGGAGTTAATACCTATTTAGTGTTCTGTGCTGAAACTTGCAGGGATGAAACGATGAGCCAAAATACCAATTTTTTTTTATTAGCCTAAACCTGTAGTTCCTGTGGCATTGATTATTTTTTTTTAATGTTTCTTTTACTGAAGATGCTTTCTTTTCTTCTTTCTGTCTTGGTACTTTGTGTGTGAGAACCCCAAACTGGGTCTTACACACTGATGGGTGACTCAGTGCTTTTCACTTCCCCTGCCAGTGGGTGCTGCCTTGCTACCTGCACTGTGTGAGGACTGGGCTGTTCTATCAGCACATGGAGGGTGGTCTCTGTGGTGCTCTGCTGCCCCAAAAGTGATCCTCTTCATCGTCAGTAAAGATTTTTGGAATATTCTGTTTAACCAGTGTGCTTTCCCTTTTTACTTTCAGTATCTACTGGAGATGAAAAGCTTAGTCCTACCTCCAGAGCATATCCTGAAACGAGGGGACAGTGAGGCAGTAGCATATGCTTTTTTCCATCTCCAGCACTGGAAGAGAATAGAAGGGGCTCTACATCTGCTGCACTGCACATGGGAAGGCAGTAAGTATCTCTTTTCATTCTCTTTCAGTAGACTAACCTTTTTGCCTTTGTTAAATCAGTCTTCTTTATTCACCTGTTCTCTCTTGCAGAGAAAACCTTGGTAAAGCTCGGTTTAGGTTCAGATCTAATGTCACTTCCTCTTTCTGTCAGCATTTAGGATGATCCCATACCCGTTAGAGAAAGGTCACCTTTTCTATCCTTATCCAAGTTGCACGGAAACAGCAGACAGAGAACTGTTGCCAAGTAAGTGGTTTGCAAGCAGTAATAATAAAACATAACCTAAGGACACGTTCAATTTGTGGTGTTCTGTATTTATCTTACTATGTTTTTGAGTTAGAGCTTCTCATGAAGGGGTTTCAGCTATTTGTTGATGTCCGTCCCCAAATGATCCTAAAATATCTCACAGGTGCACAGGGTAAACATGAGCTTGATTCTTTAAATTACATTTTTAAAGGAGCAGTGGATTTGATAGCTATTGTGGAAGAGTTGTTTTCTTTTTGCAAAGAAGTCTTCCCCAAATGCTCACTACTTTGAGTTTAATTATGGAAGTATGAGCCTACGAGCTTCATTCTCTTGGTAAGGCGACTTGAAAATAAACCATTAATGCCTGTGCTCATCATTCTTAGGACAATGACATCAATTTAGATTACAATTGTGCTCTTAATTGTATGTTTAATAGAATTCCTCTGAGGGTGAGTGTCTACATTGTGGATGAACACAAGTCCCACAGAAAGAGGAAAGAGCTACTGCAAAAGCAGCAGCAGACCCACGGAGACCACAGCTGTGGAAAGCAAATCTACACATACGTGTTTCTATTTAAAAACCTGAAGTTATATTTAAAATGTGTAATTTAAATTTGCCCCCAGACTGCTTTAAATTACTCATTTCTCACTTATGCAGGATATTGCAGAAGGAATTCCTCAGTTAGTGACTAACCCTAAATTGTAGACTTCCCAGCATAATTAAACACCAACACATGCAGATATTTCAACACAATCATTCACGCATTCCTGTTATGTTTAAAGTATAAAACTACCCATAAATAAAACCATCTTAACACTTTTATTGCAGTACTTCCTCAAGAAACCTTGATACTTCATTTTAAATAGATAAATTTTAAAAAATTACGTTGACCAAATTAATGATTCAAAACTCCTGGATTGAGCTCTGACTGTTAACAGACCCCAAATGGCTGTGAACATACAGAAGTGTCTTTCATTGTCCTTATATATTCTGGATTTGATTCCAGTGTACCAATGAAGGAAAAATCCCTGCAAAAAGGATTCTTTCCATTTTTTTTTTACTCTTTCCTAAGTTAGCCTCTGGCTTTTTCTACCTTATGTATCTCCACGTTTTAAAATGCAGCTGCGTTTCTGCATTGTATGAGAGTGTAATGGTTTTCCATAGATTTCTTTGATTTCTCAGCAGAGTGAGTTAAGTTTTGAAGCTTTTTTTATTTTATTTTATTTTAGATTTTAAAAATCAACTCTTGAAGAAACATGCAGCCATTTCAGAATTACTTATGTCTATAGAAACTGCTTTTCCTCATTTAAAGAACCTTTCAGAATCACTGGATAGAAGTCAGAGCTGCAGGTATTCTGGGCCAGAAGTAATTGCACATTCACCAAACAGATCCTCAGCTAGTAACCAGTTGTAGTGTCTTGAGTGCTGAAAGCTCCATATGCCAGCCCCTCAGCCTTGCTAATCACCTTCTTTTGATTTTGTTACCATAGATTGGAAATTGCAAGGAACTGCTATGTGGAGAATTTATAACCTCGTCCTGGTGCTGTTTTCTTTGAGGTCTACTCTGTCAGCTGCTCTGAAAAATTTACTGTAGTCTGCCAACCAGAAATCTTTGAAAACCATTGAGGACCTACTTTGCATGTTTATATGGCATGGTGGTTGTTTTGTGCGCACCGAGCTGCTTAATCTTACAGGAAGGGCAGCTCTGCTCCTCTCTCCAGATAACAGAATTAGGTTGAGAACGCCTGGATGGTTGAAATAGACCTAATAGTCAAAATTACAGCTTGTGAGTTGTGTAACTCTTCCCTCCGTACAATTAAGAGTATCAAAAGTTAAGCCTGATGAAGTGCTTCAGAAGTAAGTCTCATGCAAGTGAAAAAGAAGGTTGGGAAGGAAAATTTCTGAGAAGTTTGGATAAAGTACTTTATTTACTACGTTGTGCTGCACAATAGTCTTAGACTGCATTTACACCTTGTGTAAGTTGCAGTGGAGCGTAAGGCTATGCAAATAAGTCAGAAAATTGCCCTTGATTATCAAGTGCCAATATTCTTTTTCTTTTCAGCATTTCACGAAGTCTCCGTTTACCCGCAGAAGGAGCTCCCCTTTTTCATCCATTTCACAGCAGGCCTGTGTTCCTTTTCGGCAATGCTTGCACTCCTCACACACCAGTTCCCTGAGCTGATGGTTGTTTTTGCTAAAGCTGTAAGTATGGTCTCTGTCATTTCCATTTTAACAATGCTTCCCACACCTTTATCTTTTAAAAAATCAGAGACTGCAGATGTTTGCTGTGCTTCGTTACTGCATAAGGCTCAGTACAGGAGGTTTTAAAGCTTCCTGAGGAATGAATGCAAGGTAGGATGGGCTCCACAAAAAAAAAAAAAATCTCTTGCTGAGCATTCACTAGTAGCATTCTGTGAATGGAACCGATGAAAAGGTAGGTTGATTACTTCTCTTCTTTGCTACTTCAAATCTGTTTGCTGTCGAGCTGCTTGTTCCTATGGATGGCTTCTGTGTCCCTCCTCTCTCCCTCTTTCTGCCCTGTTCTATCTGAGTTTTCCTTGCTTACACGTTAATATTGCTGCTGATGGTAACTTTATGATCTTCTCCTGTGCTCTGGAAGCAGCAGTATCTCACTTCAGCAGAGAGGAGCAAACTGGATAGGCAGCTTCCCTTATGCACAGGCCCAACCTTAGTATATATTAATAAGCCTTTATTGAACTGTGAAACTCGTGTATATATGTATATGAATGTGTATAACAAGTGATGCACAAGTAGTTGTTCACCACCCCCGACTGATGCCCAGTTAGCCCCCATGAGCTGTGGAAAAGAGAGATGAATTCCCACCCCCTTCAGAACTCCTTCTGCACAGTGTCCCTTTGGCCAGTTTAAGTCAACTGTCCTAATTCTGTTCCCTCCCAGCTCCTTGGGTTCTTCTCTGGTAATGGCCTCAGCTCTGAACAGCACTGCTTAGCAGTAGCTATAAACATTGGTGTGTTACCAACATTGTATTTCTCCTGGAACCAAAATGTAGCATCATACCACTCTAAAGAAAATAATTCCAGCCCAGCTGAAGCTGAGACACCCCGAACTCTCAATTGTTATTTTCAATGTTTGTTAGTCAAAATAGAGCATGAAAGAGGTTCTGCTTTCTTGCTGTTTTAATACAGCAGGTAATGGGAACCTAGGAGATAATATTCCTAAGAATACATTGCTCCTAAAAATGTTGGTTTTACTTTATTTATTCCAGTCCACAATGCCCAAATCATGCAGGTCTGAGAATGGGGCCTCATTTCCACACAGTTCTGTTGATCTTTATGCTGGAAAATGTAGTTGGACATGCCAGTGACAAATTTCAGTGCTGTTCATAATTGGCTGGGTTCATAGTAACCAGGGTCTAACTATCTGCTTGATTAATTCTGTAAGGACTGCATTAGCAAAGTTGTATGATTTCCAAAGAGATACAAGGTCAAATGTTATGCTAACAAAGAATTGCTTGGTGAAGTTCTCTCTGTTGGGTTTCTTGAACCAAAAAAAGACTTTGTACGAGTTAGTTGGCTTTGTATAATGGCATTCTGAATGTCAAGTGACGTGTCCAAGTGTGGGGGAAAGAATCAGCGTTCGGCCATTTGGCACTGTGTTTATTTCACTGTCTTTAGGAAAGGGCAGATAAGTGTCTGCTCAGCAGAAAGGATGATCAAGGAGCTTGCATATCACCACGTAATTCCTTCCACCAATTGACAGTGATCGCTGGCACTGACAAAGGGCTTCTTGCCACTCACTCTTCTAGTTGAATACTGCAAAAAGTGGAACCTACGTTGTTAGATAAACAGACAAGAAGTGAATTCTGTATTTATCTCTTGAGATGGACAGCTGAGAAGGAAATTTTGTCTTCCAGAACAATTCGGTCACCTTTGACAGAATTAATGTTCAATTCCATTCAGACTCCAATATTCTTATGTTATTCGATTATTGTACTCTTGATCCTATTCCTGATGTTTTCAGGACCATCCAGAAAGCCTGTAAGAAAAAAATGATATTTCAGTACCAAACTCAAACTTGCAGTTGTATTCCTGGATTGCTTCAGATCCTTTGTAAGTTATCTCTGTATTTAATAGAAGTAACGTGATGAATGCCATGATTCCGTGAAACGTTCTCATAGAATCATCTCTCTTGTGCTTTGGAGGAATGTGGCATTAGCACGTAGGTGAATTTTCATAGCTTGGTGGTACCATTTAGGTTGGAAAAGACCTTCAGGATCTTCAGGATGCCCTGGAAGGGAGCTCTGCGGAGAGGGACCTGGGTGTCCTGGTGGACGACAGGTCGGCCATGAGCCAGCAGTGTGCCCTCGTGGCCAAAAAGGCCAACGGCATCCTGGGGTGCATTGCAAAGAGCGTGGCCAGCAGGTCGAGGGAGGTGATCCTCCCCCTCTGCTCTGCCCTCGTGAGGCCTCATCTGGAGTACTGCGTCCAGTTCTGAGCTCCTCAGTACAAAACAGACAGGGATCTCTTGGAAAGAGTCCAGCGGAGGGCCACCAAGATGGAGAGGGGCCTGGAGCATCTCTGCTATGAGGAAAGGCTGAGTGAACTGGGTCTGTTCAGCCTTGAGAAAAGAAGACTGAGAGGGGACCTGATCCAGGTCTATCAGTATCTGAGGTGTGGGGGGCAGAATGGCGAGGCCGGACTCTTTTCAGTGGTGAATGGAGACAGGACAAGGGAAAATGGCTGGAAACTGCAGCATAGGAAGTTCTGCACAAATGCATGAAGGAACTTCTTTACAGTGAGGTGACGGAGCACTGGAACAGGCTGCCCAGGGAGGTGGTGGAGTCTCCTTCTCTGGAGATGTTCAAGACCTGCCTGGATGCCGACCTGTGTGACCTGCTGTAGGGAACTGCTTTGGCAGGGGGTTGGACTCCATGAGCTCTGGAGGTCCCTTCCAACCCCTACAATTCTGTGATTCTGTGATCATGGAGTCCAACCATCAGCCTGACCCCATGACTAAACCATGTCCCATCGTGCCACGTCCACACATCTCTTAAATACCACCTCCCTGCGCAGCCCTTGGTGATGCTTGAGCACCCTCCCTGTGAAGAAATTCTTCGTAAAAAGAAGAATTTTGTACTGAAAATGGAAGCTTACCTTCTATTTAATTACCTGCAGGTAATTCCAGGGCTTTTAAGTTTTCTAAGTGAAAAGACAAATCCTGTATGTTTCATGATTTTGAGTATTGTTTCACGATACAATGCTTTAACTTATTAAATCTAATAATTAGAGATAATAAAGTTCCAGGTGGTAGACACTTGGAGTGCCTCAGCCTTAGTGAGGAAGTGGCCCCAAATAGATTTCCAGCAAAGTGGCAGAACTGTTGAATTTCCAGCAAATCTGAAGCACAGATTTGGGAATGGCAATTGAAAAGAATTGTTTGCATGGATTTTTTTTCTACTGTAATTCTCTAAGTGACTTATGACTACTTAAATTGCATTTCTGTTACTTCTTGTACTGCTGTTTCCTGCAGTTGAACCTCATACGCCTCTGTATGAACTGTTTGCCTCTAAACAGCATTAAGGAGTCGAATACCTTTCTATTGACTTTAGAAGTTGGAGTTTACATATTTTCATTTGTTAGTGCTTGAGTTTGTTTCCTCCATAATAAATCACAGGGTAAACCTTGGCAAATTGCTAAAAATGTTCCAAGTGGCCAAAAATCACAGTGAAGCATTTACTAGTTCCAATGTATACAGTCTAATACACCATCAACAAAAGGCTTTAGCTCTGGCACCTACTCTGGTTCAGCTCCCTTTGAAACTGATGGCAGTCTTTCCATTGTATTCCCTGGCCCTGGATCAGGCACCCAAGGGAACTTGGTTGTGTTTTATACAGGTGGAAGGGCTTGCAGAGAAGTGCTTAGCATTTACTAATCTAGTCAGAGGCGAGCCTGGCTTCATTTGTTCTCTTGCAGCTCTAGTTTTTAATACCCTTCAACTAGAGGAAGAGGATAAGATGCAGTGTGTGAGTCATTGTGGGTGATGCCAGTAGAACATGCAGGGGCAGAGAGCTCTTAGGTGTGCAGAAAGAGTGCAGGGGCTTTGGGTGGAGCTGTGGGTTAGGGGTCAGTGAGCCCTGCTCTTTGTTTCAGTGAGATTTCTGATCTCTTGGAGAATTGCTCTCTTGGTGACAGTTTGAGACAGCTCTGTGTCGTGAGACGGTGTTCAAATTGGGTTGGTAAGTGACAGAATGAAGGAGGTACAGAAGATGGAGAGCAGTGGTATATACAGCTGAGCACGCTGAAGAATATTTCCTACCAAAACAGCAGGCAGGAGGATCTGATTATTTTTTCCATTCAATATGAATTTTTAGTTCGTATTAATTACATAGGTGGAGGATTGGGTGATTGTGTATCGTTCTGCAGAAGTGATGCCACACAACAGTCCATACAAAGTCTTACAAAGATGCTGGGAAATCTGCTTTCAGGAAAACTGCAGATGCAGTGGCAGCAGATGCTGCAGGCACTCATGTCAGAAGTTCCTTGCCATGTCTGTCTTGCTTACCTTCAGAACAGATCAGTCCCAGGCTTTAAGTCCTAACCTTTTTTCCCAGTATATGCTGGGAAATACTTTAACTAGCACTGGAATAGAGCAGTGCTAGTTAAAGTACTGAAAAATACTGCAGCAGCGTTCCAGAATCCTACTGAAAGCACGTTTTTGCTCAGGGAGTTGGACAAAATCCGAAGACAATCCATGTTCCAAAGTATTTTGATATGGTTTGCTTGATATTTTCGCAACAAAGAAAGAATTCATGGGACTTAAATTAAAAAATTGGCTAATTTTTATGATAGCAAGATAAGGAGAAAACATTTTTCATTCTGTGTGGCTCCCCCTTAGAGGATTCCTCTCTGTTCTGCTGATAGCAGCCATCTCAAGGCAGAATACAGGACTAAGCAGAGCCCAGTCTGGCAAGTCCTGCTTTCTGTGACACTCTGCTTTACTTTCTGAACAAATCCCCCTACCACTTTCCCCAAAGCTCATTAAGTGAGACTGGAGAATTAACTTTTTAGCCAGCTGCTGAACTTTTCATATTTATAAACACTTGAGTCTTTTGCTTATCTAAGAGAAAATGTGTATAGTTTGGAGATGTGCACTTCCCTGCCAATGTGCAATGAGTGGTTCTACACTTCATAGAAAAAAAAGCCTGAAGTTTCCTGTCACGGCCGAGTGTCGATGCCAAGGGCAAAGGTTCCTTGCCTCACTAATCTACATCTTAACTCATGCACTTAATGTGAAGGTGCCACACGCACACAGGCACTGAAGAAGCTAGCTGCAATGAAAAGCTCCTGCTCTGTTGTCAATGTTATGTTTTAAAAGCCTTTTTAATGTAATATTTGAGGTTATGATAGAAGCCAGGAGGGCCGAAGTAAAAGTCTCAAAGTAAATGAGTCCTGTCACTGCTGCCTCATGGAAAGAGGGTTTGTGTGAGGATAACGCAGGTCCTGGTTAGGAGGGGGCTGGGTGTGGGGATGTTGAGAAGGTGCAGGGGGGTTTGCATCATTTGTTTTAACTTAATCTCTGTTTCTGGAACTGTTTAGATGGCATCTGTGGATCCTGTCTGAAGAATGGGCTGCTCTTGCTGGGTTGTCTGTTTTTTACACATTCGAATCAGTGACCTATAAATAATCCGTGTCTGAATCTCCCCAACAGAATGCACCACCCCCCTCCCCAACGTGCTTCACACTGGCCTAGCGTGGAGAAAGGCTGTTCTAACACGTGCTGCTTGTGCCTAGGTGCTGCGAGTGCTGTGGCCTGTGAGTGCCCCCAGTGTGCTGGCATCCGGCTGAGCCCCTCATCCCCGGTGAGTCACACTGAGCACTGCTCACACAGCACAAGTGTGAGGCTCTGTTTGGTGTATTTTTGTCCCCCATCCTTGTTACTGCCCCATCAGCTTGAAGAAGGCTCAGCCTTTCTCCCTCCATTTACTGATGTCCATAATTAAAGTGCCGCAGTGTCACAGGTGTTGAGTGCTCAAATGCGGTTTGATTCTCTGATTTCTTTGTTCATATCTTAAAGCTGTGAAATGAAGTTGATTTTTAAACTAGAGCTCACTTGTTGTCATTGCTGTGTTGTTGTTTTGGTTTTTTTTTTCCAGTTCTTTGGGACTCTCCTTTTATCCATTGGTGTGGGAACATTAAGATCCTCACGTTTTCCAGTCTTTGGCACCAGCTGAGTGCAGCATGCCTCCCAGGGGCTTCGATTGCGTTGTTCTCAGTGTGTCCTGGCAGCACCCTGGGCATGGTTGGCTGATACCTGGCTGTGGGAGGCAGAGAAGAAAGCTGTGCTGCTCAGACAGCTGCCCTTTGTAGGCTGCCGTGTTGGTAATGCTGCTTCGTGTTTGAGTTCCTTCTTTGGCCGTAGAGTCTGTAATCATCTAAGAAAATAGTTTTCTTTGAGTGGTAACCTCATTGCTCCCTTAATCACTTGTACAACTGGAAGGTAATAAGGTAATACTTCTGTAAGAACTGTGAGAATGTAAGTAGGGCGGATGTTTTGAATCTTGACGCTTCCTTCTCAGCTGCAGATGCACCGGATAACTGGCTTTGGTTTTAATTTTGTAAGCCTTTTTCAAAATATTTGTTAGGAGCAAAGTATGGTTTTGCTTGCTTTATTAAAAGGTTGCTTCTTAACGTGTGGAGTTTGTTGAATTCTTAAGCGCCTGTTTTAATGTAGATGGTAGTGTGCAGAGATTTATTTCTTCTGTATCCTGTAAGTTTGCATTACAGAAGGAAATTGTAGTGTAAACTCCTCTACTTTGTGTTTTTATTTCTTTAGAGTTAATTGTGTGTGTTTTGTCTGTCAAACCCCTTTGCCTTGAAGAATGGGCTGTTTTCTGAAACTACTAAGAGTGATTGTGGTATCTGCATGGGAGTCTCCTTGGGAGACCTGAACTTTCAAGTGTTAGTCCAAAGAAAAGTGCTATCATTGTTGATATCAAGATCTGAAGAGACCTGAGGTGTGGAGCACTCTTAAAAGGAATTACTTCAGATATGGACCAGCCACGAGGGTCTGTTTACCAGAAAGGTGAACAGATAGCAGTGGCAGCCAAGTGCTTGGAGGTAATTGGTGTGACCTCCATTTCCACCCTTCTCCCATTAGAGAATATGTCAACTTCTCAACACTCAGATCTGCTGCTCTGTACTGGAGAAGCAGGCTCGTGTTAGGCAAAAAGCTTCCTAAAATGTGGAAATTGCAAAAATAGCACAGGCTTGCAGATAAACATTAATTCTGTGCATATTAAAAGTCGTCCGTCATCCTGTGTTTCTGAGATACGTGTAGTTATCTGTAATAACTAGGGAGATTTTGCATGCTTTATCTTCAGTGATCTTTGTGAAAGATTGATGTGAGCTGTGACCTTGACAGCTTCTGTGAAAGGTGTCATAAATTACTCTGGTTTTTGAATCCTGAATGGAAGAAGCTTGCCGTAGCCTGTACTATTCTCTGAAGCAGTACCTAAATCAACCAGCAAGAGTGTTTTTAATTTGGTTCTTTATTGTAGGCAGGCCTCTTATGATTTTTTAATTAGTACAGGTGAAATGTTCCTTAATTGTGATTCTCTAAAGGTCTTTCAGTGCAGGCACAGCTTCTGGTACCTCTGCAGAGCATCCAGCCTAAGGACCAGTGGGCAGCTGTGAGTAGTGGAATGGTTGCTCCAGCTTTTGGCAGAATGCAAAGTGAAAACATGCAACGTAAAAACAGAAGGAGTTTTTCCAATTTAGTTTAAAAAAAAAAAAAAAAAAAAAGACTATGAAGCAGACCTGTGCACCTCCTGATTGTGAATGGCTGAGATGGAGCACCCACGTTTAGGTAGGAATGCCATTGTTACTCTTACATACGTTGGTTGGGCTTTAATCCAAGTTGAATACTTGAATTCATCAGGGAATCAAGAGGGGAGCCCCATAGAAAGGCAATTCCAATTTATTTTTTGAGTTGCCCACTCTCTAATAGGTGCCTTTGTCAGCTTCCCTTCCAGTTGAATTGCAGCCATCGGTGGTGTTTCTCACTGTGGAATCACTGTGGTGATTAATAGGCATGTTGTGTTCGTGTAATTTCACATCTTGGTCCACAGGGGCCCATAAGGTAACCAACCTAATGCTTTTTAAAGTTGAACATTTTCCAGCATTTGTGTGAGGTTATAAATGAAGCAGTGCCTCCCATGTATCATCCCAAGAGCTGCTTTCTTTCACTGTCCTCCCCTGACATAACAGTAACAGAAAGGGGATGGGCTTGTGCTGAAAGTATAGCTGGCAGCAGCCTATGTAATGAAAATGTTCCTGTCTACCTTGAAGTGCCAGTAATTCTTGAGGAAGGAGGAGCTCCCTGCATGATTTCCTAGCAGGATTGTTCATGCTTTATAGCAACATTCCTTTGCCACCTTGGAGCAGGGGCTTAGCACCTGATGCATACCACAGTGCTACCATATCAGTCCACATGCAATTAAGTTGCATAATGTATATGTAACAAGACAATTATGACTGGGGACAGATAAGCATTGATTGTTGCCATTTCCCTGAAACATGCACTTTGCAATATGTGCCTCATAGCCACTGGAATAGCAGGAGCCTTTTTAAGGCTCTATGTCATGTAGCAGACTTCTCAAGTCTTCATTTTATTTGGAGGAGCCAATGAAAGGCAAAGAACTTGAAAATCAACGTTTATTTATATACATGCTGCTAGTATGTGAATAATTACAGTCTTTTTGATTCATATTGACAGGATTTGAATTTTGTTGTTGTTGCTGTTGCTCGTGGTGCCTTAAAGCACCTCAGAACAGCTCAGTTTTTGCTCAGGTCCCTCCAGACTTTTGTGTCCTGCAGAGGTAGTGACTGTGCTGAGCAGCTTTCCATTTGCAAAACTTTCCTCTGGAGTATAATTAACTCTTAAAGCAGCAGTGTGACAGCGTAGGCTTATACACTCTTCTGGTTGACAGAGGCAGCACGAAGCATCTCTAGTTTCTTTGGGCTCCTAAGCCACGTCAGAATGAGCCTCTAGGTGACTAGCTCCCTTACAGCTGTGTACCATGGTGTCAGCCTCTGTTCTTGAAACATGCATTACTGCTGCTTGTGCACACACGTGGCTGTAGGACTTTCCACCCTGTCACAAACCACAGTCACCATTTGTCACTGCGTTGACAAGCTCGTGCTGGAGGTGCTCACCTCTTAGCCCAGGCTGCTGCATTGGAGCTGATGGCTGAGGCTCGGGGCACTCCAGCCATCCCATGCCACTTCTGTGGTGTGAGCCAGGCCAGGTTATTTCCTGCCTCCTTGTCCTGGAATTGTTGTGAAGGTGCCAAGGTGTAGATCCATGGCTCTGAGCAAGGCAGTGTTTAAAGGTCATAGTCAAGATCATTAATAACAAGGTGCAAACGGCTGGTTTATATGTAACGTGAAGCTTTTTACTTATTTCATTTTTGCACTTTGGGGGCTCTGTTTGCTTATGGAGCACTTGGTGTCTGGTACCTATTTAGGCTGAGAGCAGGCAATTGGGTTCCTTCAGGCCTTCAGAGGAATGCAGAAAATTGTTCTCTGGTGTTGTAATTCTGCTGGGATAACTGGAGCTTATTTGTCTCACTGCTTATTAAATGCATACTTGTCTTGAGGTCCTCTTTTTTTTTTTCTCTAAAAAGCGTTGGGTGAATCCCAAGGACCACAAGTGAGAGGAAGATTCCAGGGGGAGGGGGAGAGAGAAGAGCCTGCACCTCTCTTTGAACTGCATCATTGGCCTCCTGTGCCAGCAGGCTAAGGAGGTTAAACACGAGAGCAAACTCCCAGAGAGAAAAGGAGATGTACATATGGGGGTCTTATGGACATAAATTAATCTGCCCTTCCCCCCTGCCCAGAGATGACAGGCTGAGGGGAGATGCACCTCCCAAACTACTAATATATGGGGTGTGTGGTTGGGAGCCACATGGAACTGCATTGAGATTTCAGAGCAGTAACAGCTGTGGAAGCAGAGAGCAGATGTGTGCTGGTGCTGTGTTCTGAGCAGAGGATGGTATTGGTAGCAAGGGCAGCGAGCACAGATGGGATTCAGATTCTGCCAGCCTCCCAGCAGTACCCACGTTCCCATGCTTTGCTGTTAACAAGGACAAGCAGACTCCTTGCTTTCCTTTCTGCAGTTCAAGGATGTGTGGCTGCGTAAGTGCTGGGCTGTCTGTTCTGATCTTCTACTTATGGTTCAGAAATGTCCCCTAACCATCAGGTCACGCTGGCAGCAGCAGTAACAGTGGGCTTCTGTGTTCAGCCTGCTGTGATCTGAACTCACCCACATGTCAATAAAGACAGGGAGAAAGTCAGCTTTTGAACTCTGGCTCCCTCCTCCCTTCCTTGCACCTCCCAGCTGAGGCGTGCTCTGCATGCCCCAGCCCTAAGCACTGCAGGAAGAGGACGGTGATCAGGGATGCTGATCATCAGCTTGGAATTTTCCTCTTTATTTCCAGCTTCGATTGTTGTCTTGCTTTTTGGTGGGCCCTTAGGTGAGTCTAATCATTGGGGAATGCTGGATAACACACCCGCGTTCATTGCATCACTAAGGGTGCTTCCATTAAAATGAATACGTCTCTCCATTGGGGAATCTTCTTGCTTTGGTTATTTCTGGTCAATGACATTTCCTTCTACTCTGGATGCCTTGAATTGTGCAATCACACCATAGCCTCATCAGTTTGGATCCTTCTCTTAACAAACTCTTGATTTCTTTTCCTATCTGGCTATAGGCTATCATCAGTTATAAAACAGTGTGACAGAGTATGTGACTATTGCATTCTCCCATACTGACTCATCAGCTGTGATTTCAGAGCAGTAATTCCCTGCTGCTAGTTGGAGCAGCCCTTCGTGACTCGTGTTCAGTAAGAAGGGGTAGGAAGGCTCCCACACAGACCTTGACAGGTTGTGCAAATGTTAGTCAGAATGCCCCGATTCACCTGTCCCTGAAACTTGGACCTGTCACAGGAGTGTGGCTGCTGGAACAGCCCTCATTCAGATACTGGCACAGGTGCACAAGCACTGCCTTCTGCAGAAGCAGGAGTGTGATGGTGAGCAGAGGCATCTACAGCTGTGGCAAGGCTTTTTAGGACTGGGGTGTAACCGAGTGTTGCGTGCATTCTGGATTGTTGTAGGTCAACATCTGATCCATCTGTTCAGTACACCCATCCAGAAATACGGCCTGCTAAGGCCCTCTCTCACTTGCATGTGGCTTGGTGGAGAGAATGCCCTATGTTTGTCCAGGTCCCATGTTTTGGATGTCTTCTCCTGTGCATCCTGCCCAGCTTCTTCAGAGAAGGTAATTTATTCAGAAGCTCATCTAGCGATTAATTCTGCTCCTTGTTTGTGAGTTCAGCCATGCTTTTGACTGGAGGATAATTAGAACACGATCTTCCATAAAAGGCTCCCCGTACACTTTAGATTACTTAAGAGGGGCTTGTGAGTGGAACCGAGTATTCCCTGACAAGACTGCAGCCTTCATAAACTTTTATAGATGGAAAACATCTGCTTTCTGAAGATGAGTGCACTGAAGGGGAGTTTCGGGAGGCCTCATCTGTGAGAAGACACACAGCACTGATTTCCATTCAGCCTGCAGTGGGATGTCCTCCTGTGTGAGCACTGGGGTTAGTTCTGTTAACCAGCACTGTTGGCTCCCGGGCATCGTGCTTTTCATGCTTCTGCTAATCACTTGTTAATAAACAAGAGGAGAGCACAGCCTCACATAGCCCTCTGCAGAAGGACCTCCTGCCTCGTGGGCTCGAGCTGTTGGGCTGACTCCATACTCGCTGCTCCGGGTCCTTCTGCAGTGCTGAGGACGGGCAGTGGGGCCCTCGTGTGCTGTCTGTGTGGGATTGCAAAGGGAGGTGGTGCTGGGTGGGTTGGTGCTGCAGGGAACACAGCTGGGCAGGGGGATCCTCACACTGCTTTAATATCACATGGGTCACTTCGGGGCTCGTCCTGCAGGACCTCTGTCCCTCACAGCCTGCCTGGGGTGAGGTGCCCCCAGCTGCCCCTGTGGGGGCTGTGTGAAGTCTTTGAGCCCTTCCCATCAAAGCAGTCCTCCAAGGGCCTTTCTCTCCCTGTTCACGACAGCATTTCCTAGGGCCATTGGGTAGAACCCTCATTCAGAGGTGACTCATTTTGTGATGGCCAGTGAATGGCTCAGAAACAGAACAATCTTTGTTCTAATCCCATCCTGCTGCTGTGACCATTTGAACATTGCAGTTGCATAGAGGGAACCAGGAATGCTGACAGGAGGAACCTGTCAGTGCTGGGAGAGGTCGGGCACCTTGCTGGGACAGCAGTGGTGTGAAATCAGACTCAAGTTAAACGTGTTTATAATTGGGTATCACTGCAGGCTCCTCCTTCTTGTTGTTGGAAGCTTGTAACATGCATAAAAGCACACACTGTGCATTTCCTGACATGCACAGAATTTCATTATGTGCCCTTCAGCACAATGATGAACAATATGAGGAAAACAGGTAACGTTTCGCTTGCTCACAGTGCCTGGCAGCAGGCAGCTGAACTGTGGTCACTTTGCTGCGGTCAGGCTGTGCCATCAGCTCTGGCTGTGCAGTCATCCTGGGGCTGCTGCAGTCCCAAACCTGGCCACCATGAGCTCCTTGCAGCTTTGGTTCATGATGCTGAGCATCTGAAGCTTCAGTACATGTTCAGGAATTGCAGTGGTTTGGGTAATTCTTTGTTATTTTGGAGGGGGGAGGGGGGGGGATCAGTTTTGTTAATGGGATCAGTTTAGTCAATGGGTTCAGTGCCCTTACTTGTGCATTAAGGCTGCCTGTGTGGGTTGGTCAGTCTGGATGCTTCTTTGATCAGTATCTGTGTACTGCATAAAGCATCTATCAGTGCTTGTGCAAGTTGGGGGGAAAAAATAGAATTTCTAGAGATGAGAGGGGTTAATTCCCATAACATATCCACCTACTGCCTGGCTGCTCCCTGCCCTGCTCTCACCAGCTGCAATTGTAGCTGACAGCCGGAGTTTAGGTGTTGTAAGGGAAAGATGTGGGAGCAGATCTGGTGCCTCCTGCCTGACCCAGCGTTCTGCCAGTCCTGGAGCACAATGGGAGGATTCCCCGTGGGATTTGGACACCGAGGGACTGCTGTGAGGGACGAGGGGTGAGCACAGGGGGTGGCTGTGCCCTGGGATGGGGGACCTGGGGCAGGAGGGACTGCTGCAGTCACATCCCACAGGGTTGGAAGCACAAAGCAGAATGCAGAAATTCAAAAAGCAAAGAACATCATTTTCTGATATAGGTTTATAATGAATTTTGACTTAAAATAATAAGCAGTATACACCACATACAAGTGAGTTTTACAGAGAGATGCTCTTGTATCCGTCAACTTCCAAACCTACCAGTAAGTTCACAGATCTCGTTTGCTTTCTCTAATGCTTTGTCTGCAAACTTCTACGGCCTTCTTCTGTAGCCTTTGTCTTTTTGCAGTCGTTCAGGCTTCAGCTGACAGTTCACAACTCCGCTTGTCATCTTCGCTGGGACACAGGGAGAAGACTCTGCAGAAGTTGCTCAGCGAGTGTCAGTAGTGCAGTGGGGACAGCGTGCCAGGGCTGCTCGAGGGAAGCACGGAGATACGGAGCTTTCTGAAGACTTTGCAACACCCTTCCTCTGGCCTTGCAGAAAGGTAAAAGCAAGAATGCTGTCTGCGAGAGTTTATTATTCAGAAACAGTTGGTTTTTTGGTTGGTTTTTTTTTTGCTGGTGAAACTTCAATGTAAAGTTGGGAAGAGGCAGCGTTGCTCCATCACTGCATCCCAATGTCAGTCCTCTCAGTCTGTGTCAGTTGCACTGTCCCTCCGCGAAGGGAACGACGGCAGCAGAAGTTTCACAGTTGAAGCGAGGTTGGCTGCCTCCTGGGAACGGGGTTCTGTTTTGCTGAGCAAATAGAAGGGTCCACAGCACCTCCTGGGAAATGTAGTCCTTTCGTAGTGCTTTGCAGAGTTAATTAATTAAATAAAAGCCATGCAGTCAAACTACAGCTCCCAGAAAGCGACGGCCCACAGGGCACAGGTGTTTAAAACTGGAAAAGGTTCGCGGGGGGGGGGGGTTTACAGCCAGGTTCTGCCACTCGTCTCCTCAGGTCTGGTCCAACCACTCGGCCCTTTTGGGCGCTTTACACGTGTGCACATCCACAGTGTCCTCGCACTCCTTGCAGCGCACAGCGCAGCACCAGTGGAACTTGCACTCGCACTTGGTGACGCGGGTGACACGGGTGGTGTCGTAGCCCCTCCCGCAGCACATCACCTCGCAGCCATCGGTGCCACGGGAGATCTTGTTGCACACGCGCCCTGCGGTGCCCAGTGAGCCTGGAGGGGAGGAAACAACTGGGTCAGGATCATCCCCCCCTACACTGTGCTCCCTGCGGCCCCCCCCCCCACCCGTGTGTCCACCACCTGGAGCCTCAGGCGGGGCTGTTTTATCATTGTTTCTGATGCCGTGTGCCCAGATGTGCTGTTACGACACGAGGGCTGTGAGCAGGCTGCTCTGCACGTGCTTACTCTGCTTTGTTGCAGGTGAGCCTTGCAACAGCAGGAGTCTCCGTGCTGCCCTCAGTGCCTGGCCTCAACTGAGGAAGCAGTGATCCCTCTGGACTGAGGCTGTTGGGGGCTCCTTCCCCACTCACAGAGCATCCTGGCCCCAGGGATGCTCCAAGAGTCATGGAGCTGCACCCCTGGGGGTTGCAAGCCATTGGGGGGGAAGGGGGGGACAGGGAGAGCTGCTGTAGGTGCCTATGGGAGATTTTGGCTGTACCTGCCGACTTGTCCATCACGCAGTAGTCGGGTGAGTTCTCAAAATACACAAGGTCTGTCTTTGTGGGCTTCCTGAAGTTCTTGTTGGCCACGGTGAAGCCGGTACCATCCTGGTTCATGATCACCTGGATGGCCCCATTGTATTTCTTCCGCAGGTAATCCCCTGTTTTCCGGAAATCCGACATAGCCAGCCAACAAGTCCTTAGTGTGCAGGAGCCACTGACCCCATGGCATTTGCACTCCAGCTTCAGGAAGCGCTTCACAGCCTGCAGGAGGGGGAGCACATCAGGACTGGGAAATGGTGGCCACAGCTAGCAGGACCATCTAGATGTATTGGCTGGATGTGGCTCTGGGCAGCCTGGTCTAGCGACTGGCAACCCTGCACATAGCAGGGGGGTTGAAATGAGATGATCTTTGAGATCCTTTTCAAGCCAGGCCATGCTATGATTCTATGAAAGGAGCCCCAGGGATGTGTTCTCCTCGGGTTTGTGGAGCTCTGGACCCTGCCCTGACCCCACAAACGCACCCCCAGCAGCCCTAGGAAGTGTCCCAGCCTCACTCACCATCCTGCCGCAGCGGTTGTTGTGCAGGTTCATCAGCGCCCGCGCGTCCTTCACTTTCTTCTCTTTGGCATCCACGAAGGCTTTGGCGAAACGGATGCCATAGTTGATGTTGTCACTGCAGCCACCCCAGTCGAACTCCCCGCGCTCATCCTTGGCACGACCGCGCTTCAGCGGGTCACAGCCGCAGGCCTTCAGCTCCCCTTGGCTGCAGGCACGTGTGATGGCATAAACCACCCCTGCCGAGGAGATGGCGTAGACAAAGGCGGCCTCCCTGCTGCCTGCGGGCACAGAGCACGTGGTGAGGAATGGGCTGGGAAGGGGCGCAGAGCTGCAGCTCAGCCTGGGGGTGCGGGGTGGGGGGAGCCGGGTTTTGGGAGCTGTGCTGGCCCCCGGGTTCCCCACGCAGCCCAGCGTGCCCCCCAGCTCTCTGTATCTCTGGTTTGAGTTCGCAGCTGGTTTTATAACGCTGTAAAAGATGCTGCAAATCAAAACCACGTTCGTCTTCTTTTGGAGAGCCTTTGAAAGCGACTTCAAAGGGAACTGAGCTCTCTCTAGGCCTGGCAGGATGGGGTATGGTGAGGAGCTTTCATCAGCCCCTGTGCTCATCGGCTGGGACGGGACGTGGGGCCGCAGTGATGCTGGGATGCAGGGGGATGCTGGGGCTGAGCGCTGTGCCCCAGTGCTTGCAGCCTCCTGTGCTCCTCCTGGGCTGCCCTGAGTCTGCCCAGCATCCACAAAGCCCATCCCACACACGCCCACGTGCCCTGCAGATGGGCTGCTCCTACCACTCCCAGCAGGTCTCATCATGGCTGATGTGCCCTGAGCTCCCTGCAGTACCAGGAAGGACCCCCCCATGGTGCAGCCCCAGCTTGGAGCCTGCAGCAGCAATGCCACCCGAGCCCGGCCTTGCCTCCCTTGCCATGCGAGGAACAGGGAGTTCCCACGTGAACTGCTGATTCCTGGCCAACCCTACTCTCCAAATATTTATATATCCCATTACTGTTTACATACGAGCCTGTTCTCTGGAGGTGTCTCCTCCTTCTCCCTTCTCCCCCAGTGCTCCCCCCGCTCCATCTCCTCTGGTGCAGCTATTACAAAAGCAGTGGTGTGCGCCCATTACTGCTTGATTAATTTACAGGGAAGGCAAATCTCTCCCAAGCAGTAACCAAAGGCAGGGGGCACAGCAGCAGGGATGCTCCTAGCAGAGTAGTGGGGCACGGTGGGAGCTGGGACTCCCCCAGGGACACTGTGAGCTGGGTGCAGATCCCTCTTGGGTCCCTTTTCTCCCCACACTCAATGTTCAGGTTTCCTTCTGCCATAGTATCCAGAGCACAGCTAATCAGTTTTTGTTGGTTTTTTTTTTTTCCCCATCAAAATGTAATTTTAAAGGGGAAAAGGTTGTTTTTCTCCATTTTGTATTTTTCCACAAAGAATGCATGCACCTCACCTGCAGCTCTTTCTGCAAGCAAAAGCCACGCTCTCTAACTACAACAATTTCTCAGGACTCAGGGCATCTTCCCGGCTCTCTTGTTGTTTTCTTGTTTATGCAGGGGAAGGATGTGAAGCACCGTTCCCTTCCTCCCCCATCCCAACTCACACCCTGCAATGGGGACACGGCATGGGCACACAGCAGCACCTACTTCGCAGCATCACCCTCCCGAAGACGGTGTGGTCCCGGTCCAGGGTGCTGCAGTTCCAGCGGTGGTGACGGAACTGATACTGGCACTCACGGATCCACTCCTTGGCTCCCTCCCCGACGGACTGCATGATGTCGGGGTACCTCTGGCACAGCTGCCTCTGCTTGTTCACCAGCCCTGGGATGTTGTCACAGATCACCCTCGCCCCCAGCGCCCCGATGTACCTGCAGGGAGAAGGGAAAGGTGTGGAGGTGCCTGGAGGTGCAGGCTTTGCGCCCCATCCCTGCTGCTGCGTGGCACAGGCGCCAATGCAGCGCTCAGGTGGAAGAAGAGATGTGAGCTTCACTTGTTGTGCAGGCCTTGCTCGTGCTGCTGGCACCAAGCCACGTTTAAGATCATGTCCTGAAGATGGACAGCTGGGGCTGTGCTGTGCTGTGTGCACGCTGCCTGCATCTCCATGCATTGCTGGGAGCGGGCAGCAGCTCCATGCAGCAGCACGATGCACAACTGTGCTCGGTGTGCAGTGGGCAGCTTTCCCCACCCACCAGGGGGATCCTGGCTCTTCCTGCACCCAGCAGCCCTCAGGCCTGCATGGACAATGGAGACATGGTGGAATTTTCCATCCCCATCCCATGCATGCTCTGCCAGCAGCAGGCTGCTCTGTGCCGGGGAGTGATTTTTGCCACATACCACGAAGCTGTGATTCTGGCTGCAAGGGAAGAGGTTTGGGTGGGATTCAAATGTTTCAAACCCCCAGACTGGAAATAAGACCCTCCCTTTAATCACAGTAAAAAGCAATAAACTTGGGCAATATGTCATTGTCTTTCTCTCTCTCTCTGGCCATGCTCTATCACTTCCATCAGCTTCAGAGATAGCTCCCAGGCTCAGGAAAGCCCAGCGAGCAAAGAAAGCAATGGGATCTT